AGAAATACATTATGAACCTGATATCGATCAGCATTCGAATAACAACAAAAAAGAAATATACATATATATAGATACATTTTTGAGTAGTTGTGTAGCTAGTAATAAAATTTTCAATTTTTGACTAAAAATACCTGTTTCAAAATGTTTAAAATGCGGAAAAGTTAATTGTAAACGTTGCATATCTGATACGTGAGAGATCGCTTGAAAAATTCGTGAGAGTTTATCGGAGGAGTTAATAACCCTTTGTGCCGTACATTCAGGTTATGTACGTCAGTCTGAAATATAACTTCATTATATAGATAATAGATAACTCGGAATTTTATTGCAGATAACCTTGAGATAGATACACGCTGAGTGTATCGACCTTCGGTTTTCCATATTGAGCCAACAATTTCTGACATCTTTGATGAGGTTTTGTTCCTTCTACGTACCCCATAAGGCGAATCTTTTGCAATATTTTCTTGTTCCTATAATTGTGAGGCTTGGTCCATCTGCATAGTTCAAAGATGAAACAACGATACTGTCACAAAAAGTAATTCTTGTGTTTTTAGGGAGGAATTTTCGATTTCTGTAAATCAGCTTGAGTGAGAGGTAATTTTTATGGATTAGTTTATTCACATTGGAATCAAATCGGAGATCACTGTCTATATTATTTTTGCTTCCTTCACAATATCCAATCCATTAGATCCTATACTGATATTGAGTATTAGTATTTTAGACTTAGATTCATTATTCACTGAGCACATATTTTCAGTAAGGGATGAGAATGTGTCGAGATCGTGACTGATCCGCCTATTAGCGTTATCTACCCTGTGTGGTTCAAAAGAATAATAGATTTGGGTGTCAATGGAGTAGTTGTTTACAGCTGATTCTCGGCCTCCCCCCACCACTATGACGTATTAATTGCTTTTTTTATTGGTTGTTGTTTGGTGAAGTTTTTTTGTTGTGCAGTGAAGTCAAGGCGTTGTGACCTTGAAGTGTCTGGTGCATGGATCGTTCAGATTTTTTTTCANTAGCAAGGGTGTTTTTTCTTTGCGAAGCAGTATTCAGAGTATTTTGAAACGTTCCAAATTCACTTCTTACAAAACCAAATCAACACCGAGTGAAGATGATTTTGATTGACTTTTACAATTCTGTGAGGTTATAAGTGACTATGTGATTGGAAATCCACAGTTTCTTTTCATCAACTGTATTAGTGATGAATGCTTTTTTTTAATGGGACAGTTAATCGCCATTTTGTCGATTTAGGATGGATTCGAATCCCCACATATTTCACGAGGTACATACGCATCATCCCCAAAAATTGAATATACAGGCTGGTATTTTTGGTGAACCTTGTTGGACCTTCATTTTTAGAAGGAATCTATCAGGATTACTTATCTAGAATTACTTGAAAATACAATTGAACCCATGTTAACGAACATTATTGAAAATTACCTAAATCAGCTGTAGGATCAGTTGATATTTCAGCAAAATGTTGCTCCTCCGCACTATGCTTTACCTTATGAATACACTTACCCATTACTTGATGAAAATTAATAAACACTAACCATGATAATAATCAATCAGATTTCACAAATGAAATTGTTATTTTAGACGTGTTGGGCTAACACCGTAGCTTTATCGGTCTACAATTCTTATACACAACAGTAGTAGTAACCTTACTTGATTGGTTAATGGTAAATGAAATAACAGGTAGAATTTGAAAAACCTTTACAATCTCAATTTTTGGACAGAGGGTGAATTTTTAATTTGAATAATTTTTGGCATTATGAAAAAAGGTTAAACAATGGTGAGTAGTTAACCTCTTGTTGGTCGTTCAGTAGGGAATTTGAATGATTGGCCTTACTGATTACCAGAGACTTCTGCAGGTTCAATTTATGTTTTTTATTTTCTGTATGGAGTATGTCGTAGTTAATATTGAAATTGTAATTGTTCTACAAAAAGGTGGCACGCATAGGTGGAATTGGTCTTCTTCAGTTCAAAATTTCTTTTATGTTCGAAGATTCTCGTTTCAAATTTTTTGAAGTCCTTCCTATATACACTTTTAGGCGCGATCCGCACGTCAGTTTATAAACACCTCATCTGTTATCCTTGTCTATGTATGATATGTTGTTCTTTATATGTCTACACAAGTAGTTGCTCGTAGTATACACTATGTTGATATTTTGTTTATTCAGTAGTCTTTTTATTTTATTCGATGTGTTTTCAATATTATATTCAAACATTTAAGGAGGTGATTCCTCATCGAAAAAAAGGTAGGATCTTTCATATAAAGAATTTTCATTGGAGCATCCCTTGTTAAGATACAGCCCCTTAAAGGGGGTACATAAAATTTTTATAACAATTTTTTTCACAAGCACTAAAAAAGTTATAATATTGAAATTAACCTGACGTTTTGTACTACCAAAAAGACACTTAGCCAGAAATTTATTTGGTTTATCCCATGGTTATATGGGGTGAAAAACGCAACCCCTAAAATTTATTTCCAATGTAACTTTATGTCTTATTATTTGTTTACCATTTAAAAATTTATTTCCGATAGTTCGCAGCAAAAAATTATTTTAGGAACAACTACAGAGATACATCGTCATAAATGCGAAAATACGAAACTAATCTATTGATTTCTACATGTGTGTTTTGTTATTAATAAATTAGTTTTGTTTATTACAATAAATCCAGTTCGCATTTATGACGATGTATCTCTGTAGTTGTTCGTAAAATAATTTTTTGCTGCGAACTGCTTTATTTTGGCCAAAAAACCAAAGAGACATTTTTTGTTTAGAATGAAACAGGCTATCGGAAATAAATTTTTAAATGGTAAACAAATAATAAGACAAAAAGTTACATTGGAAATAACGAGAGACAGCGATGAAAAGGTAATTTTCATACAAAAACGTGCCCCAGGGCGGCTCCTCCATTGGAATATTAAAAAAATCCTGTTTTATTGCACATCTACAAAATAGAACGAAGGTACATACAGAATTTCAGCCTTCGAAAATTTAGGTATATGGAGAAACAGTGATGAAAAAGTAATTCTCATATGTAAACGTGATCCTCAGTGGGAGCGCTTCAGTTAGAATGTTTAGAAATCCTTCCTTATTGCACATCTACAAGATAAAACAAACCTTCATACAAAATTTCAGCCTCCGAAAATATAGCGGTTCGGAGAAACAGTGATGAATGTAACTTCATTTCATGAACACGCCTACATACAAAATTTCGAGGCTCCTCAGTAGAAATATTTCAAAATCATTTTTAGTGCCCATCAAAGACCTAAGAAGAACCTATATACCAAATTTCAGATTCCTAGGACTTACCAGTATGGAGAAAAAGAGATGAATGACTGTTAATTATAGATGTGAGGATATACTTGGTTAATGCCTTGTTAGAAAAGTATTGTATTAAGAATGTTATAAACGAATATAGTTGTTGATTTTATAAATTGGACATGATGTATTCGTATCTGTGTTCAGGTTTTATTTGTGAGAATTCAGATCAATACTTTCCGGGTCACTAGATTGTAAGCAAGGTTCTATCAAATAGCCTCCACGATCTCCAGATCTGCTTCCCCTAGATTTCTTCCTTTGGAGTCATTTGAAAAGCAGAATTCATGATATAATTCTCCAGAATATATAAGAACGTTTTCATCAGAATCTACATCATTGCATGGAAGTGAGATGCCCATTTTGAACAGTTGTTGAGATGAGGGTAATGTAAATCAACTCAATTTTACACTTATTATGATTTACCTTATTTGAAAAAGTGTACATTAATGTATTGAGACTTTCACGGGCTCTAAAATGATGTGCAACTCGACTCCTATTTTCTTCCCGCTGTTCGAGGGTTGAAGTGACGGTGCTACAGGTAGAAAAACAAATCGAAGTGACGGTGCTGCAGGTATAAAAACAAAATATTTTCCTCCAATCTGAAAAAGACCTTTCCTAGCGTTTATCCATGTCTACGGATATATCACGTTTTCAAAGCCATCCTGTATATACAAGTAAACAAATTTTGTTTGAATGGGACAAAAACTACGGTCAATAAGATTATTTATTAATTTCGTGTTACTCCGTACTGGTAAGTCCTAGGAAGGTAAAATTTGGTATACATTGCCTTCATTTCAAAACTTCCCACCCCTAGTACTTCATTTAGCAGGGAGAATTTGCCGTAGGCAAAAAACACGTCAATTTAGATATCGCGGGGGAAGTTTAAAACCAGTGCCAGTGGTATTTTAGGTTTAACCCCCTTATCCCCAGCTACCCCCACTTAATAATTTTAAGTGGCACCCCCTATCTTGTAACACATCATTTTAAAGATCTTAAAAATCCTCACTCAACCCCGTTTAAAAAACTGAAATTGGTTGATCCGTTCTCGTAAAATAGGGCTAAACGAAGTACTAGGGGTGGGAAGTTTTGAAATGAAGGCACTGTATAGATGCTTTTTAGGTCTTTGGTGCGCACCAAGAAAGAATTATCAATTGTTCCAACTGGGGATCCCCCATGGGTGTAAAAGAAGCGCGTTTACATATGAAAATTATTTTGTCATCACTGTTCTGCGTACCGCTATATTTTCGGAAACTGAACTTTTGTATGTAGGTTTTAATTCAGCTTTGATTTTTTGAAAGTAAAGTTTGAGAAGATCTAAAAGGTGTAGTTTATGAAATTACTATGAATCTTCATCAAGTAACGGCCAAATTAATCAGAAAAATATATCTCATATTTAGAAAATAAAGGTCAATAGGAGAGTTCCACTTAACAGATTTCAGTTTTGCGGAATGTAGGAATTGTGGAAAAATCGACGTAGGTCAAAAAACTTTGCAATGTTATACAACCGACACAATTTTGTGGGAAAAAAGAATGCAATCTCCAGAAGGAAAGTGTGTGAAAAAGGCCAGAGCCAGCAAAACAACAATAGAAATAATGGGAAATAATAGAAACTGTCGAAGAACCTTCCAGTGTGCGAGGCATTGCGATCTTCGTCTGTCGTTGGTGCTGGCATTTGTCGCAGCCACAGAGATGGCATGCTAGTTCAGTCGCGCGCGAACATTTGGGTTGGTGGTACGCAGTTGAATTGGCCGGATAACATGCAGCTACTCTCGTAGCGGTAGACGAATTTTGTTTTGATTTCTCGCGTTGGGTTATCTGAGTGCACTTTTGTTTCTTCTTTTTTTGGGATTACCAGCTCATTTTCTGGAGGTGTCGAGGTAAGTTTTATTAAGGGTCAAGTCTCATTCAATTTGTTATTATTGTCAGATTGAAACTGAAACCTATTTTTGGTAAAAACGATTATTTGAATTCAATTCCCACATTGCTAACAGGATGCTTTTATGTACTGTGCTGGGTAGGTGAATACCATATTTAATTTCAAATTTTGCTCCTTCTAGATTTGCTTCGATAAAAATATTTTCTTTACGTATAAATGTTTTATCTCTTTGGACTTTCGTTCATGTTTTTGTTATTATATGAGTAATCAAATTGTAGCTTTATACTCCCGACGAAACTACTAAGAGATCGTGCCTTTCGATCACTGTGAAAACTCATGTGGATAACGATCAACAAAAACTCCTTAAGCCGGTATTATATCCACGGACTGCTGAGCAAGTCACTGAATAATTATGAATTAAAATTACATTCGTGTGGTACATTCCAGGGTACATCTCGGGGTACATTTTTGGACAACCTAGGTATTACAAATGGTTACAGCCAAACAAACCAGTTGGCAGTTAACTTTAATTTAAAGGAATTTATTTGAGGAGGTTATTCATTCGTTTTCAAGAGAACAATTTATGCAATTACATTTCTGTGGTATTATTGGACCGTTTTTTAGCTGACCCCACTATTGCTCTCTAGGAAATGGCATGGTTGGTTAAATTATAGAAAATCGAAAATTTGAATTTTGAAAATTGATTCATGCCAGATCATAACAAACATGATATATGGAAAAGTTCCTGTACCCCATTCTCATATTATTTGAAATTAGGGCGGAGAATCAACCAAGGAATTTTGCGAATATCTCAATGCAGTTTTTATTTAATTCAACCAACCTTGTAATTTGTCGTTTTTGATCATAATGTAATAAGTCATCGCACCTGGACATTCTGTGATTCTGTCATCATTTGTATGATTCATGCGGCATTTTTGTTCGCTTCATTTGCGATGCAAGATTTGTTAGTTACTAATGAACAATTGTTTTGTAATCAGCTTGATAATATTATTTCTCATTGATGGTAACTATGTAGGTATCAGTAGTACCCACTTGAAGTGGGAAATTTTTTACCGACTATATTTACAATTTGTAGAAAGGAAAACCCAAAGAATTACTTCGTAATCTTTGTCGAATTCTGTTATAACATTTTATGACTATGGGACTGGGGATTTAGGTAATTTAGGAAGGTACAACACCATGAACTCCAAAAACTATATGTATAACCCCAATTTATTAGTAAAAGGGTTGTTAACACTACTGCCAACAAGCCGCAAATCTGCTTTCTGGTGATTGCGGACTTTCTGCGCATTTTACACCCTACCAGTTTGTATCAGCAGATCAGTTTCACGTTAGGCCGGCCACACACGTAACGGTATACATGACAGGTAAACCTGTACAGGTCACCTGCGCAGGCAAACCGGAGCGTGTGTGCCAGTCGCTGCAGGCGAAAGTGCACAGGCGAAGCGACCTGCGCCGGTCACCTGACAGGAACGGAGATTTGGTATCTTGTACCTGCGCAGTCGTCAGTTATACCCTAGACCTGAGCGTGTGTGTGAGTACGTCTGGTCGCCTGCGCAGTAGTTTTGTTTAGTTCGGGCTTCTTCCGTGAAGAGAGTGTCTTTTGTTTCCTCATAACCGTGTCTTTCTTTTCAATTAATGGAGTCACGAGTAACAACAGCTGTTTATAGGCGTCTTCATCCATCCGCAAATAATTACGGAAGTCTGAAGGCTCACCAACCAAGTCTTTCAATAATCTTGTATTCATTTCTTTTAGTAAGCCACTTTTTACTCCACATTTTACGTTTACACTTCTTCTTCTTGTTTAAAACCACACACAATCCGACTAAAGCTATCATATCATCTTCATCTTGGCTCGCCATCTCTCAACTGAGCTAAACGTACGGTATACCGTTACGTGTGTGGACTCTAGTTTGCACAGGTATACATGACAGGTAAACCTGCGCAGGTTTACCTGTCATGTATACCGTTACGTGTGTGGCCGGCCTTAGAGTGTCTCAGGCCCATTATTATTCAGTGTTGAGTTTTTGGTGTAACAAACATTCCCAACAAATTGATATCTAACCACTTATTCTGCTTTTTTATGTTATGTGTATCATTTATCGATCAATCGTTGCTGTATATTCTCTCAAGAAATTGTCTTTCTATGCCTTTGTAGAAAAGTGACAAAACAGAAAATCAGATAATTTGCTGTTTCAGGGTGTTAAGCCGTGGTCTGCAGGTTTTTGGGCCTGGCGTTTCTATGCAACTACAACAGTCATTATCAAAGATGGTGTCCTTGAAAGTCTACATCATACCATGATACTTTGACATATTTGTTAATATTAGAAAAACACTTCAATGTAAGATCTTCACTTGACAGTTTACAAAACCGCTACACCTGTTTCGCTATACAACAGCATCTTCAGGCGTCACAGTACATATATTGTGACGCCGGCACAAATTATCAAGGGAAAATCTCACATTAGTGTTTTTTGACAACACTGGTTTTTGAAGTCTTCCTCCTCCCAGGAAGACTTCAACAACCAGTCTTTTTAACTCACTTCAATATTTACAAGTTGAAAATTAGTTAATCAAACTAAGACATTTTTGTAGTTGACAAAATTATCTCATGTTTCCGAAATTATTGCCTATGGATTAAATATTGTATTAAGAAAATCTTCATATTTACAGAAAAAACACACTTTTGGCTTGTTCCAAGCTGGGTATTTGGTCTTTTTTCTTTAATTTTTGTCATTTTGAGTCATCCTTTTTTGCGGGAATCTGTTTGTTTTTGATAAAATCATCATTTATATTATTATTGTCAAAATCATTCAAGTAAAATAATGTGGTAAACCAATTTCTTCTTTTACCAATGACATCACCCCTTTTTTGATAGATAACTGGTTTCTACAAAAATATCACAGGATTCAATAACTTTTACATTGCAAGACTTATTCGAAGATTTGAACCTTCTCAAGCTTGATAACGTTGGAAAAACATTCGAATTCTGTTGATAGGGAAATAATTATTCATCTAAATTTTTGTCTAATTCAACATCAAGTGGCAATCGAAACATAAATAGAATACAACTTAATTTCCAACCAAGTTTTCTATTATTGAGTTACTTCCTTCTTCAATCCCTTTTCAATGTTTTCATGAATATCAATTTCCAACCAAAAACATCTTTCAAATTGTTTATATAAAATTTCTTGTAGATATATTCGCCTGTTTGAAATCAAATGTTTGAATGTAAATGTATGTGAAATGATATCAACATCGTGCCTTGACGGAAGGTCATCTACGTTGGCTACTATACTTGAAATGAAACCTTATTTAACAATTCGAGGGAATGGCATTTATTTTTATCAGCAACAACACCCATATGAATAAAGGTATACTTTCACATTACTCATCGTTTCGATAATATGTATATAGGTAAGCTCACCTAATTTGTATTTCGTCCAACTTCATTATTAGCGTTTATAAATGAACAACAAAACAACAAACTATGGCGAAATTACTAATGATGAGTAACATTCGATGAATAATATTCAATTTGTTTATATAAAATTTCTTGTATATATATTCTCCTGTATGAAAGAAAATTATTAACGATGAGTATGGGAAATTATATAAATGCACTCAAAAATCAGTTTTATCAACATCGTGCCTTGACGGAAGGTCATCTACGTTGGCTACTATACTTGAAATGAAACCTTATTTAACAATTCGAGGGAATGGCATTTACTTTTATCAGTAACAACACCCATATGAATAAAGGTATACAACTACTACTTTCACATTACTCATCGTTTCGATAATATGTATATAGGTAAGCTCACCTAATTTGTATTTCGTACAACTTCATTATTAGCGTTTATAAATGAACAACAAAACAACAAACTATGGCGAAATTACTAATGATGAGTAACATTCGATGAATAATATTCAATTCGGAGAAACTGCTTTTAGATCACTCACAAAATATTACCTTTCCTTTTTTTTCTTTTCATGTCATTAGCATGAGGCAAAGGACGCCTGGAAAATTTTCTTCGCTGTTGAGGTTTGTTTCAAGAAATTCAGGCTCTTTCTTGGATCACAATTCAAGCACTAATGAACTTTAGATTCGAAAATTATGTTTCAAATATTGTTCGATTGAGAATGAGCATTTGAAACTTTATGTGAAAATGTTTCATTTTACATTGGAATATATTTCGGAGTGGCGCAACTTGGGATTGTTATAACATTGGCCTCTAACATTGAACAGTTATTTAAACATTCTTGAAATTTTTCTTTTCGTTTGATCAGTTGGATTTACGTTTCACGCATCCCCAATATAAACATATTTTAAACTTTTCCTGTTCCATTATCGATGTATATCTAATAAGTGTTGTACGCACTGTATGTTATCCGTACGATAAGTATGATGAAAATGAACAACTCTTGCCACGCTTGAAACTGTTTACAAACATCCTCTCGATAATTTTGTTCAAGTATTCGTTTGCTCTGCTGGGTTCTGATTGAATATACGGAAACTACTGTAGGACATAAAAATACGTAAATCTCGTACATACCGTGTGGACCTGGGATTAGATATCCAGATTCGATAAGAATTTTTGAAATTTTTTGGAAAGTATATATTTTCCCTAGACAGCTTTCAAAAAATCATCTGATATATCATTTTTCAATCTATTCAGAGCATGTGTACTAAAGCTGAACTTTTTTAAAAATGTAATCCGAGTTATTGAAAATTCAGAGCTTATAAAGAATCATCTACTCATATATTCTTCTTATTTCTATTCCAAATGTTTGTACTAACAACAAACATTTGTGTAATTATCTCCAAGTGAATCATCGCTACTTACTTTTTTTAATTTGATGCAGTGGATATCGTTTAAAACGTAAAAAATCTCCAAAAAAGAATTTTAAGCTTTATTCTCTCCTAAGACCAAGAATCACCTTACTTACTTGTTTATACAATGCAGTACTTGGAATTCG